ATCGGGCGAGTGTATGACTGAGACTAATTTCAGGTATCAATATTCAACGCAGTTGTCGCAAAGTATTGGTCTCCAACAGAATACAGTCTTGATCTAACGCCACCGAGTATGTTCACATGGTCAATGGCAAGAATGCACATCAGGTTACAAACAGTACATTTCGATTATGTATTGTATCGTTTTTGATCAGTAGAGATAGTTGTCTAAAGATTTGGTAGTTGCATTGAAAACTTTGTTGTGTTTTCAGAGCAATGGGCAATTTTGAAGCTTTATTGAATCGCGCCTTACTGATTCCAACAGTACCGATACGAGGTCACTTCGAAGCGCTAATGGGACACATCAAACTTAATATTGCTGTTAAAATGGGAAGGTGAGTGGTCTCCGTTGAAAAATTTGTGGAGGCATTTTTATGCGAGCGTTTCAGTATCGCAGTTTTCATAATGCTGCTTAGTCAATTCAGTGAAGTCAATTCAACAAGTCAATGTACTATAATAGTAGGAATTGCATGGAACTGTGTACGGAAGTCAGTTTGAGAATATAATTCCAGTATTGTGATCATTCTTATAATTCGATGAAATTATCAAAGAATAGTTGATTGATTTTTGAGGTCGTCGATTGGAACACCATTGGTACAAACCAGCTATTGTAAGGCCGAAATTGGTTATGTGGATTTGCATGTAAAAAACACTGGCGTTATAACGGACTTCTTCATCAACGCTTTCAAATGTTAACATTTTCTCTGCAAATGCATCGGATTTTTTCGTATTTCCGCATTCCTTGCTGAATACCTTTAAACTCAGTGCATTGCTATGTTTAGTTATTTTCTTTTCCCTCTAACGAAAGCATTCACTTTTCAGCGTTCCTAATTGCGAATTTCAAACCGATGGTTGAAGAGAAGATGTGTGGCATGATCAAGAAGGTTGTGAATAAGGATATGAATAATATTCTGGCAACAATGCCCTTACAGGTCAGTGAATTTTCGCATCTTATTCTGAGTACTTCATTGAAACA